CCCCCCTGCACCTCACCCGGGGAAACTGCGTTCCCCCGCGTTCCCCCCCGAAATGACCTCTGGACACAACAATTTTGTTTGCATTGTAAGTTTCCTGATGGTAATGTATGAGGCTTGAAACAATCTTGTTTCACAAAAATTATTTTCTTTACTTCTTTTATTTATCACCCACCCACCACCGAGGTCTCTTCCGCATTCACATTTTTGTCACTTGTTTGTCCCTATTTCTTTCGGTCCCCTCTGCCCTTTTCCACATGTGTTTTGCTCCTTCTGAGACTTCTAGAGAGAGCAAAACACATGGGGGGGGGGACCCTGAAGCAATAGGAACACACAAGTGATGAAAATCAGAATGCGGAAGAGCTCTGAGACTCAATAGATTATACAGTGTAAAACAATGCTATCCTATAGGATGAGACATCTAGGAACAATGCCACAGGACTAGGATCACAAAAAATAGAAACAATGGAAAATAGAATGGAACAAGTAGGGATCCACAAGGACTTATGAGAGGCATCTCATCTCCCCTCCCCTGTTATTTCCTCATTCCCTTTCCTGAAAGCCCGCAAATCCTCCCCCCCTTTCCTGCTTCCTTCTCTCCTTCCCACCTACCAGTCAACCTACTTTTATTTGATTCTCTGTCTTCCTTCCCTCTGCCTGGCAGCCTCTCCCTGGGAAAACTCTGGCCAAAACAGTGCAGTGCTGACTGAGCCTGGCCCAACTGAGTGGTGGGGGACCCACAAGGACTTGTGGGTGCACCTCACTTTCACACTAGTTCCTTTTCCCCTCCTTCTAGTGGCCCCATATCCTCAACTTTCACTGCTTTCTTTTCTCATTCCCTCCCACCAACCATCCTATTTTTTATCTACACCCCATTTTCAGTCTCTGGACAGGGCCACATATAAAAAAATTGTCCATCTTCTATCCTGTATGAACCCTAATCTCACGAGGAGTTAATAGCACATAAGAAATTCAAATGTGCTTTTGGGTCTCACATGTGAAGCCAGAGAGTTTAATTAATTTACTTTTCAAATTGCCTCTGTAAAAACCATTTCTCGTTAATTTTCAAATGAATTAATGAAAGATTGTCAGTCAAATCCAACAAGGCAGGTCTGCATGCCAAAGCAGGCCACTGTGCAAGCATCTGATTAAGATCAAAGGCTCATATGGATAGACATACAGTGCAGGGAACTGCCTCCCCTTGAAGGGACTGGATGCATCTTGGGATATGGCTGGGTTTGAGCATGCTCAGAGGCAGTGGCTGTTGTGGGCAATTTATGTGCACATGACTAGAACTGGATTGGACCTTGAATTCTGTCTCGGATTTTTTAAAACATTATTTAAAGATATTTTTTCGATAATCGCAGAAAAATTACTGCTATTTTGTCTCATTCTAGATTTAGCTTTGATTGCCCTGACTTGGATAGCCCAGGCAAGCCTGATCTTGTTGGATCTCAGAAGCTAAGCAGGGCCGACTCTGGCAAGTACTTGGAAGGGTGACCTCCAAGGAATACCAGAGGCGGGACACAGAGGCAGGCTAATCAAGCCACCTCTCTGAAAACTGTCCAGACCCACAGTAGGGATTGCCAGAAGTCAACCATAACTTCCAGGCAAGCACACAAAACACACACAGAAATATATATATTTAAAATTATGGCTGGCCTTCAAGTGCATGCAGAAAAAAAAATCGGTAGCTTACCACCTTTACTGCTGGTATTTATTAGTGAACTCATCCTTGAATCAAATAGCTAAGTTGACATTTTGCTGATGAGCTGACTCATCTCTAAATAAGTAAACGTTGCTTTTTCCATTCATGAAAGAAATTCACTATTTTGCTTTTCCTCCATTCTTCTTTTCCAAATCTCAGTCATTTCAAATCAGAGGTCCTTGTTCCAGGGAAAGCCGGTAACCACTCGTATTTTGGCACTGGGCAAACTGGAGTTTGTTTGATCATGTGATTGGAGAAACAGCCATATGAATCATATGCACACTTTTACAGGTAAATGATACACTATACAAGCATTCATAAGGTTGGATCCAGCCAGCTTTTCTGCTGATGAAAAAGAGTGGCGGGATCTCCTCTGACCATCTAAAAAAGCTATGTTGGGGACAATGAATAAAAGCCATGCAGGACAGAGGCTGTAGGAAGGAGAAGAATTGGGCAAGACAGAGAAAAGCTTGGCTGGATCCAACCCTTGGAGAAACGGTGATTGAGGGGTGACGTGACAGAGGTTTATTAAGTACATAGGACGGGATGTCCTATGATCAATACAATAGAGTTTGGACTACAGAAACCTGAAAACAAACAGAAATCTCAAACAGAGCTGAAAAAAAACATGAGCTTTTAAATGTGATACATTGAGTGGTGTAGAAATTACCTAATCTGGATAGGGTTGCCAACCTCCAGGTGCTGCCTGGAGATCTCTCGCTGTTATGGCTGATCTCCAGATGAAAGAGATCAGTTCCTCTGGAGAAAATGGCTGCTTTGGAGGGTGGACTCTATGGCATTACATACCAATGAGGTCCCTGCCTTCCTCAAACCCTGCCTTCTCCAGGCTCCACCCCCAATCCAGAGCTGACAACCCTAAGTCTGGAGCATACTTAGTGCCCTAGGTAGCAGTATAGTGGTGTATAGTTCACAGTCCCATCGCTTTCACCAGTGCAGCTTTCCGACCATTTCATTACATTACAGTTCTATGTATCCATTTGAATGCTTCCATTTTGCATAGCTTGCAGAAAGTCAGGAGAGTGGGAGCCTTCCTAACCTCATCAGGGAGGCCATTGCAGAAGGTGGGGGCCACAACACAGAATGCATAAGTACAGGCAGTTATAGAATTTGACCATTTGCCCTGTTGGGATGAGTGAAGTTGAATATCTGAAAGGAACAGCATAGCAAGAACCAAATACAAAAAAGCTAAAGGTAGAGGTTTCCCTTGCTCAAAAGCTAGTCGAATCCGACTCTAGGGGGCAGTGCTCATCTCTGTTTCCAAGCCGAAGATCCAGCGCTGTCCAAAGATGTTTCCGTGGCCATGTGGCCGGCATGACTCAATGCCAAGGCGCACGAAATGCTGTTACCTTCCCACTGAAGTGGTACCTATTTATCTACTTCCAATTTCTTGCTTTCGAACTGCTCGGTTGGCAGGATAACCTCATAAGACTTTTTAAAATTACAAGCAAGATAAAAATGGTAAAGACCTACAGATACACCTCAAGGACTTCTTTCTCTAGAATATGCCTAGCTGGTCACCAAGAGAAGTTCAGTTCTGTGTTCCTCTACCACCATCAGAGGTTGAGCAGGGAGTCACACATGTTACAGGGATTTTTCAGTGTTAGTCCATAGCACTGAGAATTTGGAACGACCTGCCTTGTGAGGCATATCCTCCCAATCCCATCCCTTTAGCTTTCAGAAACCTAGGAAAGATCATGTTTTTTCAGTGAGCTTTTGGTGTGGAGGAGTTTTTTTTGTGGTTTGCATGTTTTCACTTGCTATCTGGATGTTGGCATATGGTTGCTAACCTCCCGGTGGGGCCTGGAGATCTCCCAGAATTACAAGTGATCCCCAGACAACACAGATCAATTCCCCTGGAGAAAACAGCTGCTTTGGAGGAAGGACTCTATGATATTATAGCCTGCTGAGGTGTTTCCCCCCCCCCAAATTCCACCCTCCACCTCCTAATCTCCAGGAATTTCCCACCTTGAAGTTGGCATCCTATCTGGCACCTTTTGAGTCTTTCTGATCATTATTCAGGACGGGGGGGGCTTTTTGTAACTCAGTTTTCTACCAAAAAGCAGAATAGAAATACTTTAAATGAATTGTATTGAATGACTGAACAAGTTATTTTCATTCCCCCCCCCTTTCCATTGCAGAAGGGCTTCAAAGGGCTTCTCTGTGCTTCAAAGTCAAACATCAATAGTGCAAAAAGAGAGAAGAGCCTAAATTCTGCCCAGCACAGCTGCATTCTCAGATGGCAGTGGCCATTCATTGAAAAGGTGGCCATCCAGAGGCCTGACAAATCTGATGGTGCGATTACCTTGAAACGTTAGAAGGGTCATTTCATTCAAACAGAGAAACGTTTTTTATAGAAGAGAGAGATGCCAGGCTTCTGCTAGCAGTTTCAGTGAATTGATCTACATCCTTGCAAAAATAAAAAAAGCTTTGTTTCTTTTTTTTTCTTTTTCCTTTGGGGTGTAAGTATGTTGTGCATCTGTAGTTCAGCAAAACAATAGACCAATTGCAAGGTGTTTTCTTTTTGTTCCAAACCCTTATGGAAGAGATGTTTGAAACGAAAAGCATCTTTTGCTGGTTTATTTGTCTTATTTTCATCTATGATTTGAGAGCAATCTGCCAAGCATGGCTGCTGCCCAGTTGTCATTTGCTTCAGTGGAACTTTACACAGGGCTTCTGCACAGTCCCACTGGAACAAGTAGAGGAGGCTACTCAGCTTCCATGTTCTTGATATAGCTAACTGCTGCTTCCAAGTTATTAACTGTACAATAAATACTGTGCTTAATAAAGCTGATTGTTTTTCAAGCACCTGCCAGTTATTGATAGAGACAAAACTGGGCTCGTAATTCACTCTGGGGGTCCCTCCCCAGCTGTAATGGCAGATTTGTTTCCTACAATACTTTGTTTGCAAAGTGTGATGCTGTCAGTGATGCAGGTGGTGGCTAATAAACCAGATTTCTTGTTACAGTCATTCGCCCGGAAGCCTGAGATATAGTTGTATGGCTATTGTTAGTGAAAACACTATTCATGCCTGTTTGCGAGTATTTTTTCTAATCCCCAATTCAGCTTCAACCTTGTTTTTCATTGGAAGAAAAGTGCAAAATAAACATATGTTCTATAAAAAGCAGCCATCAGAAGGTTTTAATTCGATAAGTGAATTGCAGATTTTATATATATATATATATATGTAACTTTAAATGTTTGAACAAATAAGTTAACACAACCACCATCAATTCCTTTATCAGAAGGTTCGATATAGAAGGAAGGTCTTCCACAAAGAGCTCTTTTTTGTTCAAAAAGGTGAGTTTTTTTGTTTAATAAAAGGTGAAGTTGTCTGATTTGCAAAAGGCACCAGCCAGGAAATGAGAATAAGCCATGCTAGTCAGTACAGGTGGCAAAGTATGCTGCTCTGTGGCTGATATGATCTCGAATTGTTTCCACTTGCTTTTCCAAGCCTGCCAGCTTGACTGATTCAAGGATAATTGCATTGTTGCTGTCTTGGAGCTCTGTTTCTAAAGCTGAAAGGTTAAAGAGAAGTGGGTTAACATGCTGAAAAAACTCTGCTACCTCTAGACTTCATTTGAGCTGCTTTCATGCAGAGGGTTTTCTCCAGTTTGGCATCTAAACTGATCTGGGTTTGGGGGAGTATCCACACAGTATCATCCTCTAATTGTCCATTTGCTGTATTTCCCCCCACAGTACTTTGATCTTTCCCAAAACTAGCACCATGTTCCTTGCCTCAGCGCTACTGTGTCTGTCATTTACTCTACCAGAGAGCCAGCATGGTTAACAGTGGTGGACTCTGATCTGGAGAACCGGGTTTGATTTCCCACTCCTTTGCATGAAGTTTGCTGGGTGACCTTGGGGCAGTCAAAGTTCTCTCAAAACTCTCTCAGCCCCACCTATCTCATGAGTCATGACATGCCAGTTGTGGGGAGAGAAAGGGAAGGCAATTGTAAGCCACTTTGAGACTCCTTAGGGTAAAGAAAAGTTGGATATAAAAGCCAACTCTTCTTCTACTGCGGAGGTCTTTCCATTTTAAAAAAAAAATTAACAATAGCAATATAATGTTGTAACATTCTATCTACTAGGTTTCTCTGACTTCTCAAGTAGGAAATCTCTAGCCCTTTTTGACGTGGCAACATGCCTTTCCCCCTATATCTTCGCAACAAAAGAGGCTAGAGACTTCTAGGAATCCAGAGGACCTAGTAGACAAACCATTATAATGTCAGCTGCCTTTGGGTTTTTTTTAAAAAAGCCCAAAGAAGCCCTCTGGTAACACAAGAGGCTGAGGCAAAGAAAGGGCAGGGAAAATTGCTGTGTGGGCGCTCTGTTCATCGCTCCATTTGCAGTTGGCAATGAAAGCTATATGGAGAACTGTAGCCATGTTGCTTGTCTTCAACATTATAAAGTTACTAGGAATAAGGCCCATTGTGGAAATAAATACAATGAGCGCTAGAAAGAGGCTCTGGGGGAGTGCCAAGGCCGTGGGCACTCAGAATCAATTTTCCATGGCAACCTAAGCAGGGTATAAGGACACAGAGTCCACCATTTTCTCCAGGGGAACGGATCAATGCCATCTGGAGAGCAGTTGTAATTCTGAGTGATCTCCAGCCCCCACCTGGAGATTGGCAACAGTGGTTCCCCATTATGGAATGGCTGGTTTGGAGGTAAGAGTCTATGGCATTGTACCTGTCTGAGGCCCCACTCCTCCTCAAACCTCACCCTCTCCAGGCTCCATCTCTCAAATCTCCAGGATTTTCCCATCTGGAGTTGGCAACCCTATCTACTTACCAGCCAAGCATCAACCTACACCCCCCCCTTATTGATCAGCTTTCCATTTTCCCCCCACCAGCAGCCCCCACCATGCTCTGAAGCCCTGACTGCCACATATCTGTGGCAGTAATGGGGTGACTGCTGGCACTTTTTCCTATCATTTTTTGCCTTGTGATATTCTGCTTGTGGTGCGATCTGTCTTTTTTGTGGTGTGGCATGATTGTGTTATTGGGTTTGTTTCTTTTGAAGGGGATGTGATGTGTTTTGAGTGAGGACATATTTTACCTCACAATACAGCAGGTCCCATATGCAACTGACAGTTCCAACTGTCTCATGGGGGGGGGGAGTTTGAGGTGCGGAATGGAGTGAAGTCCAGTTAGCTTCCATATGCAAATGACACTGAAACGCTGGCCCAATTAGAGAAGAGTGGCCTAGGCTGCAGTGGGTGGGAGAGAACTCAGGCAACACAGCCAGTAGATAGAGACACCTTGTGATTGACGCATCACGGAGCCAACTGATTTTGGACTGCATAGAACGTTGTGGGACCACTACTCAATTATATATAAGGAGAGATTGGTCAGTATCTGCTCTTGATTTTTCACCCTTGTCTAACCAGAGGATGACAAATCTGTTATGTCCTTACAGATTATGCAACATGTGGTTCTTACTATAAAGAAGGCATTCATTTTCATCTGTCAAGATTATGTTTTACCTCTGGAGAACCCAGGTTGAGTCCTCCCATCTGTATTCTGTTATTGTTTGCTTTTTAGCAAAGTTACTGAAGGTGTACAGCTGTTTGTACACATCTTCAATATTCTTTTTAAACATCTCAGCTCAGAGAAGTAAGTGCATATGCATGCAAAAAACAGCACCAAGACAGGCAGGGCCAGTACAGAAGAAAAAGAGATTGGATTTATACCCCACCCTTCACTCGGAGTCTCAGAGCACCTTACAAACTCCTTTCCCTTCCCCTCCCCACAACAGACACCCTGCGAGGTAGGTGGGGCTGAGAGAGCTCTGGCAGAAACTGCTCTTTTTTCAAGAACAGCTCTTATCAGAACTACGGCTTGCCCAAGGTCATCCTGCAGCTGCAAGTGGAGAAGTGGAGAATCAAATCCCATTCTCCCAGATTAGAGTCCGCACACTTAACCACTACAGCAAACTGGCATAGTTACAGATGCATAATTAGTCACTGCCACAATTTAATACAAACACCTTAATAAATTCTCAGAAACAGCGTTCATCCTTTTAATAACCTGAGCTTTGGCTTGGGCCTCTTCCCACAAATTTCTTGCAGGCCAGATTTTCTGCCCATCCACAACCCCAGTGAGGGGAAACTGCTCAGCGATCCCATAATAACAAGCATTGATCAGGGCCACTAAAGAAATCCACCGGCCCATACCAATCTGCAACAGTTTAGCACTTCTTCCTGATAAAGCTGCAGCTTCTCCTGACAAGGCCAAGTGGGTTTTAACATTGACGTCAGCAGACAGTGATAATGTATGTTTGTCATGTTTTACATGGGAAATTGCCGGCTGGCCTATTTAATAATATTCTTGCTGCATTCAGTAAACAATGAGTGGGGGTAACTGGCTGGCAGCAGCCAGATGCCAAGTCTCTGGCATGGAGAGACACCTTCAATGAAAGACATTCATTAGAGGCAAGGCTTTATCAATGACAGCAATGCTAAACCTCCTTCCCAATAAAAAATCTGACTTTGAGCCAGTCAGTTATTTATGCAGCACCTGCTACTGGGGCCAAGGCATTTAGTCCACACATTGGCTGATTCCCAAAATATATTGAGTGAAATCACTAAACCTGAATGCTTAAAACTGAAGTGTGTGACTCAAGCATTGAAAAACACAGCTTGGCAGTCGGCTGTTATTAAGTGAGCCTATGAGAGGCTGTACAGAACAGTGTGTTAATATTCCTTCTGAATGGACCTAGCACCAGAAAACCAAGCTTTGAGTCATGCTGGGATCACTGCAGTTTCAGATAGGCCGTTGCTTTTCTGAAACTGGATCAGCAAATTTTCCACATTAGGCCCCAGAATGCAACAAGATGGTCCCCACTTCATGTAAAACAGCATAAAGAACTACCTATTCCAGTGATGACAGACATTTCTAGTCCAGAGTGCTTGTGTGTGGCAATGCAAGAAACAGCATGGCTGTGAGGTCAGCTAAAAGGCATGTGAGCTTCCACTCATGTTTTACTTACCTCTCATCTTGGCCACCATAGCCAAGGTTTCTTTAAGCAATGTGTTGGCTTCCATCTGAACACTCTGGATCCGGGTCCCTTGTGCTCCCAAATTTGAACCCTGCCCCGACCGTCTTTTCAGCTCTGCATATTTTTGTTTTACCTGTTCAAATTCCTGTCAGGAAATGGAGGAATAAAACAATGGATGAATCATAGCGTCATAGAATGTTAGAGTTGGAAGGGACCTTGCAGCTCATCTAGTCCAACCCCCTGCACTCTGCAGGAGCATAGCTGAAAGATAGCCCTACAACATACCCGAAAGATGGTCGTCCAGCCTCCGCTTGAAAACGTCCAGCGAAGGAGTATCCACCACCTCCCAATTGGGGGCAGACTGTTCCACTGCTCAACCACTCTTACAGTTAGGAAGTTTCTCCTGATATTTAGCCGGTAACGACTCCCTTGTAATTTCCACCCATTAGATCTAGTCTTGCAATCTGGAGCAAGAGAGAATACATCTGCTCCATCTTCTACATGACAGCCTTTCAAATACTTGAAGACTGCAATCATGTCCCCTCTAAGCCTTCTCTTTCCCACGCTAAACATACCCAACTCTTTCAGCCTTTCCTCATAAGACTTGGATTCCAACCCTCTCACCATCCTGGTTGCCCTCTTCTGGACACGCTCGAGCTTGTCAACATCCTTCCTAAAATGTGGTGCCCAAAACTGGACACAATACTCCAGGTGACACCTGACCATAGCAGAATAGAGCGGAACTACCACCTCCCGTGATCTGGACACTGCTTCTGTTAAGGCATCCTAAGATTGCATCAGCTTTCTTCGCAGCCACATCGCACTGCAGGCTCATGTTTAGCTTGTGATCAACTGATGAAGTGATCATGTTGATACCATAGAACTAATGCTGAAACCTTAGCTATCTTTCAGACTTCCTAAGAGAAGTTATGCTACTTCATCACCGGGGCTTGTCAGGGAAGGTTGGTTCAGCTCCACAACACACAAACACCCAACTGGTCCCTGCTCCGGGAGGGAGAAGGCACTGACACTGGTGCCAGGAATCTGCTGGCAGACCAGGTCCTCTAAGAACATGCCTGACTCTTACTCTGACACAGAAAAGTGGCTCTTTAAATCCTTGCATGAACCACAATGTAGTGAAAAAGGGTGAAGAGGGGGATGGGCTATTTAACAGCAGACTGATACCTGGGAGGCCAGGTCTGACCACCTACAGTCCAGGCAGAGCTAGATGCCGAAATGGGACTTTAAGAGGGATGCCCCCCTGGAAGAGAGGAGGGAGCTCAGCAGGGATGTGATGTCATAGGAGAAAGATTACCTCCATCCTGTCATGGGATGAGGGTCTATCATGAGAGAGTTGAGGCAGGGCCAAGGCTGGTACAGGTAATGGGACCAAGGATAAAAGAGGGTTGAAAAGTTGGCCAGTGAGGACATGTCAGACCTTACCTGCTGATGCTGGAAGCAAAAAGGCCAGGGGCAAGAAAAGGAGGACATTGGTGCCTGTTAACCACTCTCTCCTACTCCACAGGCTATTGGCAGACAAGGTAGTTAGTTCCTGAGCATAGCCATAGGGGAAGGACCACTGCCCAACCTCCCACAGAGCTCAGAAGCATTCATAACCAGCAATCTCACTTACCCAAATTTCTGATTATCCACAGGAGCAGGATTCCTTCCTTGCCTCTTTTAAATGTAGGAGAGTACCATTTTCACTTCATCCTCCTCCCTAGTTTCTACCTCTTATATTTTAGCTTTCCCCCCCCCTCCCCAGACACCCTTTGATTCACTTTGGCTTGTTTTTCTGAAACCATACTCATGAAGAACTGATTCACATGTCCTCATGGCAGCTACAAAGTCTATCAGACAGACATGCCTCTGGAGTTTCTTGCTAAGAACTCCATTCTCGGGCATTTATGGGCCTGATTCAGATCAGCACCACAGCAACGGGGAGATGGTGCCATTTTCCCAACCTGAAACTAGCCAGGAAGTCCCTATTTTACCAGTGGGGAAAACTGACATGTACTGATGGCCCCCGGTCACACGGCAAAGTTGCCGCAGGAGAGGCACAAAAGGTGGGTGGATTATCCGGGCGTGATCACACCCCAACATCTGGGAAGTGGAGTGCACCCGTGGCTTACCGCCGATAATGTGCATTTAAAAACTAGTACCTTCAAGGTACTAGTAAACGTTTGCCACGGGCTGCCTCCAGACGCCCGTGGTGTGATCGCGCCGGCACACAGCATTCCCCTCTGGTCCCTCGTTTACCTGCCGGCGCCGAGGAAAGGACCCGTGGATCAATCGCGGAGCAAACTGCGCCGGGGCAATTAGCCATGCCTCCCCACCACCACCACCACGATATCCAGCCCGTGTGACCGGGGCCATGATTACATAAAAGTTTCCCCAGCAAGGCAAATAGCAGCCATTTCAGGTAGGGAATACAGCATGGGGTAAGCCTTAAGGCCCATCTTCCTGCACACTGCAGTGTCTGAACTGGGCCTCAGCAGCCTGGAAATTGAGTTCCCAGCAGGGAATTCCAGTAAACATCTGTACTGCATATCTGGCAGCCATGAGGACTTTATAACATGTGAATAAGCCCTAATCTTCTTGCTCTGGTCTCTCTGTCTCTGGCAAACATCTTTCTTTCTAGTAGACCTTCTTGTTCCCCTTCATAACAAACATTTTATGCGCAAGAAAAGGGTACAGTGTGTGGGAAGCTGATCTTATAGTTATGGTTAGTATGCAAAAATGACATGAAAGAACTTTCTGTGAGTTCTATCAGTTCATCATCACTTGACTCTAAGGGCAAAGTCTAGTCAATGAAGAGCAGAAGAGAAGTCTGTGTTATATCTAGAGACCCAAGTCATTACACAGATTACTGGCCAAGCTGGGATAAGAACTTAGAGCATCTGCCAAAATGCACTGACTAAGGCTGCTTGAATAATGTTGCAAC